GGSMWKGGRMYKGRMSAGGGCATCCTGGTTGATCCWCTCTTTGTTTGGTGACAACCAATCATTGTRTTCCTTTCTTGCGCTCATTGGATCGGGTGACTGACACGCTGTATTTTGTMTCTTTTTCGACTTGCGACTTTACCTTACAACAATTATGATTATCTGAATCGCAGGTCATGGCCGCTGAGCACGGCATTGACCCCGCCGGAAACTATATTGGTGATAATGAGCTCCAATTGCAACGAATTGGCGTTTACTTCAACGAAGGGCAAGAAGGACGATATGTTCCCCGTGCCGTTCTTACCGATTTGGAACCCGGAACCATGGACTCCATTCGAGGTGGAGCATACGGATCTCTTTTCCGTCCCGATAACTTCATCTTCGGACAGAGCGGAGCTGGAAATAACTGGGCCAAGGGTCATTACACAGAGGGAGCAGAACTCGTAGACAACATCATGGAAGCCGTTCGCAAGGAGGCCGAAGGATGCGAAGTCCTTCAGGGTTTCCAAGTCACTCACTCGATGGGAGGAGGTACCGGATCCGGTATGGGAACCCTTCTTGTTTCCAAGATCAAGGAGGAATACCCTGATCGTATCATCAGCACATACAGTGTCATCCCTTCCCCCAAGGTTTCCGATACTGTTGTCGAGCCTTACAATGCCACCCTTTCCATTCACCAACTTGTTGAGAATGCCGACCAATCTTTCGCTCTTGATAACGAAGCACTTTATGACATTTGCTTCCGTACTCTCAAGCTTGCGAACCCCACTTACAGCGATCTTAACCACCTGATCGCAAATGCCATCACCGGAACTACCTGTTCGCTTCGATTCCCCGGACAACTGAACTGCGATCTTCGAAAGCTTGCCGTTAACATGGTTCCTTTCCCTCGTCTTCACTTCTTCTTGGTCGGATTTGCTCCTCTGACTGCTTACAGCTCTCAAGGGTTCCGTGTCTTGACGGTGCCCGAGCTCACTCAACAAGCATTCGATGCCAAGAATATGATGTGTGCTGCCGATCCTCGTCACGGACGATACCTGACATGCGCAATGATGTTCCGAGGAAGTATGTCCAGTGAAGAGGTCGATGACCAAATGCTTCAAATGGTCAACAAGCATTCTTCCTACTTTGTGGAATGGATCCCTAACAACCTCAAGGCATCCATTTGTGACATCCCACCCAAGGGACTTAAGATGTCCAGTGTCTTCATTGGTAACTCGACTGCCATCCAAGAAGCATGGAAGCGTGTCGCCGATCAGTTTACTGTCATGTTCCGTCGCAAGGCCTTCCTTCATTGGTACACTGGTGAGGGTATGGACGAGATGGAGTTCACTGAGGCTGAATCCAACTTGAATGATCTTGTATCCGAATACCAACAATACCAAGATGCTACTGCTCATGAGGACGAAGGTGATGACTTCGCTGATGAGGATGAATACTAAAGCCCGAAAACGTAATTTTCGGCTCGAGTTGAGAACTCGCGGTATGTCTGTCCTCCTTTTGCACGGCTGGGTCAATTGGGTGTATAGTGCCATCTCGTCTTGTTTTCTATGGAGAGCCAATCCGATATTTGTATCCACTCTTGTTTTCCATGCGATGAAAAAACTACGCCCGATTGAATCCCTCGTTTGTTGGTATTTTTGTCTGTGATTGCATGAAAACGATAGTGTATAGTGTATCTRAGATGTTGCTGTGACATCGAATTGAAAGAATAATGATAATGAAATATGACGTATAGAAAAAATAGCATCAYGGCGCATGGCGTCTTCAACGTTTAGAAACTGTGTTTTTTGTCTCACTAAGTTCTTGAAACGCGTCATCTATTTAAKTAAGTTTGCAAATTTGGTATGATAACCAAGGTGATAGTCGTAGTTTGTTCTATTTCTTGTGACAGGGTTCGAAGGCAACGTTGCACATGCTTTCAGAAACCAGTATGCTGTGCATCATTCAAACTCTACATGCAATAGATCTCACTACGTTATCAAAGGTATACAATGTACTCAGAGCGATGCACAACTAAGATTCTTTTGGAAGGATGCAAGTCATCGATACAAGACTTGGCGCAAGAACACTGACACAAATCTAGACGGATATTTATCAKTACAAAATAAATTATCAAGTTTAATAATATATATAAAAACGTTYGAGTAACCTCAAGGGTCAAGGGCATGTCGCCCTCCATCAATTCACTACGACGTCATTCCCGACGAAGGAGACAAGCTACGTGATGTGTTTAACAAACTTCTTCAAACCAAGATCTGATCCATTCGTGTTGACCTTGTTGAGCTTATTTCGCAGCGGCGGCGGCTGCTGCGGCATTGGCAGCGGCTTGCTGTTGCATCATCATTTGCTGTTGGAATTGGAGTTGTTGGGCTTGGCTCATTTGTCCCTGTCCCGCCTCGAGCTGTCGCAATCGAGCTTCCATCTCTGCCTCGCGCATGCGAGACGATTGGAGCTCCGCACGGGTGTCCTGGATTTCTCGCTCTTGGCGGTAGTCACGCATGTCGTTTCCGATCTGGTTGACGGCGTTCAATCCGAGACTCAATCCCAATCCGGGCATGGGGTTGTACACAGGAGGGGCCACAATAACGGAAGGAGAGCTGTAAACGGGAGCGGCAGGTGTCACATATGTTCGGTTGATAACGGTGGTGGAAGATGAKCTGGAKCTGCTCGAGCTGCTTGCAGGGCGAGACGGGGCGCGGGCAGCGGACGATCGTCCTCCGGCACGACCTCCACTGCGGGCAGCGATSACCTGGCTGGATCCAAAGTAAGAATCATCCATTGCTTGGGCGGGTTCGACGGCTACGACATTTCCCAAAATGAAGGTGGCGGCGAGAACCGATGCGGCAAGCTTTTTCGAAGCATCCTCGCTGTTTCCAGAGGCCATGTCAAGGGAGGTCACGGAAGCCTTTGAWGTGMTSACTGGGGCAAAGGCGGATGCACCCGATGCGCACATGAGGGCCATAACGGCGGTCAAGGACTTGAACATCATCTTGGTTGCTGGGTCGGTGTGGTCGGAATGGTTCGAATTAAATGTGATCAGCTAGTGTTTAAACGGCTCCTGTGTATTGGAGAGACGCACTGGACGTCAAAACTCGTGTCGTACAAAGCCCCTTCTTCTGAACATTGAAGTTTCCGCCGGCTGGAGGAATGATGATGCTTTCTACCGATGAAACCGAAAAACACATCTGTTGAATTTTCTCWTTGCGATTGAGTAATCTCACACACGTAAGCGACGTAAGCATTTCGCGGTTATGAGTCGAATGAATCAAAGAGAGAACCGTAGACTCTTCCCATACAGGATGACCACGTACGTACGAGTATGAACCTTACGGTGCAAGTGTCGGTACAGCCAGCCAGACAGAACAAAACAAAACACGATTGGAAACATTGGTGTCAAAAATTGAATTGACATGATTCRTTTTTCTCGAAATTCTCGATCAGAAAGTTTCAAAACGAAATCTGAATCAATCTTCTCAAATCTGCAAGTCAGTTCTTGAAAAGGAGAGAGCGGAACAAACGAAAATAAACGCAGTCCCATATCTGTTCTCGTGACGGAAAGACACAAAGAGAACACGAGGACCGAAAAGTATTTGTCTTTGTAGTTGATACCATCACAATGCTGGCCAGGATGGRAATGAGGATCCCAGTAGTATCTCCTAGGATCACGATACAAGTAATACATCCTTTATCATGCTATCGTTTCCATGCTGGGAAGAATGTTGGGAAGAATAAAAGGACTTTGGTCTATACTCAGGACAGCGGTGCTGAGGATCGCCAATTTCAATCGACTGTGAAAAATCCTATTCCTGACTTCAGCGACACCCGTATTGCCTACGACAGCAAGTCGACCACGGAACTCCTACGAGCAGCAATTTGYTTTCGATCCTGCAAGATACCTTCACTAGTAARCAATGCCGAGTACCTTCTGCACATTTTTCGAAACCTGTGCGGAGGACCAATCGTCGACGCTGCTCTGAAAGCAACGCTTTACGGCCACTTCTGTGCTGGAGAAGACAGAGAACGAATACTTCCAGTTATCCAAAAACTGAGGAATTCGGGAGTGGGAAGCATATTGGACTACGCAGCCGAAAACGATGTATCTAGAGAAGATAAATCGTCTGAAAGTCCGACAGCTTGGGCCCTTGATTATGATTACGAGTCAGAGGCACTGTGCGACGAGCACGTCTCTATCTTCCTCCAATGCATCAAGGATGCGGCGGTAAGCAGCATGGGAGGAGAGCACCATGGGTACGCAGCGATCAAAATGACAGCACTCGGAAACCCAAAGCTCTTGGCACGATTGAGTGAGGCCATTGTGGAAGCAAAACGCTTTTTTTCGATGTTCGACTTGAATGGCGATGGACTGATAAGCAGAGAAGAATTTGAGTTTGGATACAAGTACGTGATTTTGTTTTTTTGAGACAAAGTGTTTGCTCAGTGTTGCTGCGCTTCCATTCGCAAAGCACACAGTAAATTCTAACGAAACAAGCATTTATAACTTTTTTTCATAGTCGCTACTTCGTTGACGGAGACGTTCGAGTTGAGGAAATTTTTGAAGAATTCGATCCTTTTGATACGGGATTCATCGATTATATTACCTGGTCGATGATGTTATCACCGCAGGATCTACCCAAAATAGTCAGGAATTGTCAAACTACGGGGCGTTTGTCTCGCGCGTGCCCTACCGATGAGGAAATCGAGTTACTTAATGTTATTTACAATCGAGGTCGAAAGCTTGGCAAGGAAGCTGCGGAATCCGGTGTGCGACTTTTGATTGATGCTGAGCAAGCTCGATACCAACCTGCTATTGACAACCTCGTTCTGGAATTGCAACGCCAGTTCAACGTCGGTGATCGCCCGATTATTTACAACACGTACCAATGTTACCTTCGTGACTGTCCTGAACGATTGCGAACGGATGTAGCACGCTCGGAGCGATTTCGATACCATTTTGGAGCCAAACTCGTCCGCGGTGCATACATGGAGAGTGAGCGTGATCTGGCAGCATCGATGAATTTACGCGACCCAATTCACCCGACGATTGAAAAGACTCACGAGTGCTATGATAATTCTGTAGAATACCTTCTACGACATAGTACAGAATCAGATTTGAATGTGGAAGTAATGTGTGCTACTCATAATCAGGCCAGTATTACAAATGCGATAAACTCGATGAACTCATTGGGAATAGATCGAAGGGCAAGCACCATATGCTTCGCCCAACTATATGGGATGAGCGATCAGCTGGTGAGTGAATTATAGAGCGTAGCATGATTTGTCAATTTTTCAATCAGTCCCAATATATTATAGTCGTCTATCGAGATCAAGACTAATAGATTTTCACTTTTGTGCATGTATCATTTCAAACACAATATATAAAATCTTCATCGTGCATTACTGCAACGTATCGTCCATTGCACCCAACTGGATACGAACACCTGGTGAAAAACAAAGACTTTCAATCTTGGCAATCGCAGATATCGATCATACAAGTATGTACCATATGGGAAAGTTAATGAGGTGATGCCCTATCTCTTGCGTCGGGCGAAAGAAAACAGCGCTATTGTGGGCGGAGCCACTTTGGAACTAGAATCGATCAAAGCAGAGCTTAAAACCAGATTCACAATCAAAATATGAATGTGCCTGTTCTCTGTTCTACGAGATCTACAATTCTTCTAGAAATTGAAATTTTGATGTGATGCATGTGATTAAAATAGCTTTTCTGAGCTTCTTCTCTTTTTCCCTAGTTCTTATTGCTACCTTGGGGGAGTCGAACTAAACGTATCAGTAAGCAAAAAAGATGAAATCTTAGAAGCAGCCGCGTTTATCTTCTCAGGACCAGCATCACGCCATACTTCGACCAGCTCGGTATTTTTCACAATCCGAGATATTTGTCTAGAAGTTTCGGAAGGGTGATAGATGTCTTTCCCCATGAAAATCAGCAAGGGTTGTTGTATTCTGGCAGCATCTTGACGAGTAATACTGAACACAAATTCTCTATGTGGTTGAGCCACAAACATATTGTAGTATAGATCGTTCAGGATGCTTCGGTCCGAGCTTTTTTTCGTTCCAATCATTTCATCAGCCCAGCTGTTCACCCAATCCCACGATGCATCCGAATTCAGTCCTTCCCATGCTTCTCCCGGTTCTGTTGTGTGATGTGCCAGCCCGATTGGTTGAAGCATGACGCATCGTCCAAACCGCTCGGGTGCCATTTTCATTAGCTGAAGGGCATAGGATGGACCAATGCAGCTTCCCAAGATATGGCATTTAGGGACGCGGAGGTGGTCCAGGAGAGCCAGTTGGTCCCCAAGGAATGTGTGCCATCCATCATCTTTGTTCACCGTCCCGGTTGATCGGCCCGCAAAGCGTTGATCCATTCCAATCAGAAGAAATTTACCGTGCTTCTCATTTTTTGACGAAAGCCTCATCCATGGGTTGTACGGAGACATTTCCCATTTTCCAATAGAGGATCGCATGCCTCCCGRCGCCAACAACAAGACTGGGATTCCATGTATTGGTCCTTTCGTCTCATAGAAAATCTTGGCTCCACAAGCGCGACTCAAATATGGCATTTTCCCCAGTAACTATCAAGAATGAAAATATCGTAGCCACTTTCAAAATGTTGCGGCATGTGGCATATAGCATCTCGGTCAGGAATCAATCACAGAAACGTCAAAAATCAATCAAAATGTAATCATTCGAAAAGGGGAACGACTGAGAATTTTTGGTTGCGCGGGCCCATCCCCGCCATTGCGGGGAAAGCAAAATAATGGAGTCCACGGTATAAGTTTCAATTCGCCTCGTGGCAATTCTTCCCCGTTTGAAAAATCTTGTCTTGTTCGTGCTAGGCTTTCAGAATTCTCGGTGATTCTACTAGGAAATTGTTAGAGACCACGATTGTGGTCTTGCATGCATAGTCTTGGATTTACTACTCTGAAGTACGAGTAGTACTGTACACGCGGTAACGCAGTTTAACAAAATAATTTTTCACATCTGAGATTGTTTTCTGTATCTACGATTCCCTTACAAGAAAGAATCACTCTTGATGATACCAGAATATTTTATCCCAAACAAACTTCAGAAATTGCCTACAATGATCTCCAAACATCGCACGGCGAAGCCATCTACGAATGAGCTACTTGTCGCGAGTGGCATGGCTCTCCTCGTAATAATTGCTTCTTTGTCAGATCCCGTCGCTGCTCACAGACGAATCGAATCGTGCAACCATCATTATCGAAAGATGTATCCCCGTCATTATKACTATCAAAGAAGTGATTGTGCATTTCGTCGTCAAAAGAGCCTGTACAATTCCGCGATGAATGCTCTCGATGAATTGGTCCTCGCAACCACGAATTCGCTATCCCGTCAACGCAGCAGAAGCCGACAAAATACAGCATTTTCCAAACAGCGACAACTTCGTTACAGTGTTGAGGACTTTGGTACGAAGGGACTGGAACTCGTGATTGATCTCCCAGGTTCGAACGCCCGAGATCTTGCTGTGGAAATCCTCCAAAAAGATGGGACCGACGTCATAACTGTTCGTGGCAATCGTGCTAGTCACCAAAACAAACTTGTGACAAACTTGGGATTCTCCCAGTCCTTTGAAGTGAACAGCGACGACATCGATATCGACAGTATCACGGCTCATTTCTCAGCAGGGGTCCTCAGGATCATGATGCCGAAGATTGAACGGGAGGGAACCAAGAAACCAATAGCTATAATTTCAACCAACGAATACGATGACATTGTTCCCATCTTCGTAGCCAAAAGAGACAATCGCAACGATCCAAGTGAACGTAAGGGTAATCGGCAGGTAGTAATCGAGAAGAATCTAGAAAAGTCTGGCGATTTGAAAAATTCTGAGAAAGAGAATTACTTTACACGAGGAGACAATGATTTATTTATTTCAGAAGAAGAAGACGTCTGGTAGGAGATTCAACCATCAGCTTCTCAAATTGAAAAAAAATCGCATATTACATCATAGCATAATCAATTATCTGTGTAACTTGTTGCTTCATGTCATAGCATACGCGACGTAGTGACTTTGAGTACTTCAAAGACAAACGAAGAAGTTATCAAGCGCACACCAAACCCGAAACAATAGTCGCATGATGTTGACTTGGTAAGGAAAGATCAACTCAGACTCGGCGGGTTGATCTCTGTGTCACGAAAATTCACCATTAGTAGTATTTTCATCCACTCCCAAGTCCATTTCATCGCCTTCGACGGATTCTACTGCCACGTGTGCATATCCGTCACCTCTATTCCCCTCCTCTAAAGCGGTCGAGAATGAGATTTGATCGTTTTGTCGTTTGACAGCGTACAAAAGGTAGCCCACGAGCCAAGTTCCCACTGCAAAATAATACGTAGTGAAATCGGCGAGACATATGACAAGGAGTGTTGCAGATACCGTCGGAAAAAAGAAAACGGCGCATCCCAGAGTGTTTAAAGGAATGCGATACGGGCGTTCAATATTTGGCCTGGAGATACGAAGCTTGAAAAATGCCGCATACTCTATCAAAAGGGCGACCGAATAGTTAAAATTCAGCATCTCGATCAACCGATCGAGATCAGAAACCCCCATCAACACAATCACAGCGGTACCAAGAATAAGACCATAGGTCGGTGTCCCATGCCTACTCCTCTTGCTAAAGATTTTTGGCAAATAACCTCGATCTGCCATTCCCATTAATTGATACGCATCAGACGTCAGTTCTGCCTGAAAGAGGGCAATATTAGAAATCCCAGCAGCAAAGATAGTCCACGCTCCAAGCCACGGTCCTACTACTTCCGAGTTGATCACTGCCAGGTAGCCATCGGTCCAGTCTTCTTGTTCTGCATCCGAAGCTCCTGTCGCGATCAGCAGAGGGAAAAKGTAGAATGAGACGGTCAAAAGAAATCCAACCATCATGGGTCGTATAAACRGAGTTGTGCTATCGAGTTCTGCTACCATATTTCCACCGCTGTCGAAGGAGTTCAGATTCCAGAATAGATTGTTTAGAAACGGTCTCCAAAAGACACCGCCCCAAGAAATGTTTGAAATAATCCCCCCTTGAGTGTCGACATCATCGTCGAACACATCAATGGAGGTGCTGTTCCCTGTCTTCGGAAGTACGAACCAACGGGAAGGATCTACCTTGAAGGATCCAACGACAATGAGTATCACGAATGGGCTCAAAGCGAGAACACAAATTACTTGCGACATTTTACCCACCAACTCAAGTCCACGCCAATTTACGTAGGCTAAGACAATCGTCGTGCTCGCAAGCAGACAAAATCGACCTGCAGGAGTAATGAATTCGAAATCACTGCCATCATCGTTTTCGTGTCGAACAATCTGCAGAAGGTAATCCAGAAAAAGAACGGGGTAGATCGCATTGTCTTTAATTCACATCATGTCATTTTTTCATGCCGAGCACGCGTGTATGTGCAGGTTAGAGATCAAATAAAAGATAGCAGAAAGAGATGTGTTGGACCCAGTTGAGTGTTTCTTTTGTCATTTCTATCTGTCGTGTTGATGCGAAAACACCAAACCATTCGCAAAATCGGGATCCAAATAAATGTATGGTCGCGCTTTGGTTGGTCATCTGTCTTCCGTTTCATTCATTGCATACCTGTAGCACCCGAAACCCAGCTCAAATAACCCTGCATCCATCCAGCACCGTGTCCAAAAGCTTCTTCTACCCAGGCTACTGGTCCAGATGCTTCGGGGAAGGTCGTTCCGAGCTCTGCCGTCATTAAGGCCTCTTGGAGTGACCAAACAAAAGGCATTATAGAGAATCCAAGTATAGCATACAAGTTACCGCCGGCCCGAACCGTGGTTTCGATTCCGAAAGGTCCGCCACTGACGTTGTAAAAAATCAAGATGGCCATAGAGGCTGATCCCAATCTTTCTTGATGAGAGGTGATATGGGTTTCTAACATCTCCTCTTCGATCTGATTCAGATCATCATCCGATCTGTTGCCTCTTGTAGGAGGAGAAAGCCTGAGATCGTGAACATCTACACTTGATTCTGCGAACTCGCCAGAAGTTGTTTCTTGTGAGTGCTCGATCACTCTTTGACTCGAATCATACCCTAACGTTCTAACCCCGTGCATGGTGCTACTATTCCCGAATTGGTATTGAGAATTATAACCAGGAACACAATATTGTATATTCTCAATTGTCAATTCTTTATCAAATTTCACTTCGGTTGAATCCCGTACTAGAAGAGGTGTCCCTTCATTCATCGATGTCTATGTGCGCCACAAAACGCTTACGCTGTCGATGTAGGAACGCCAAAGGACTTGGCAGCGTAAGGCCTCTGGAATATAAGTTCGCCATGCAATGGAATGAATGGTTCTTTGCAATTGATGAGATGATAGATAAGGAATCAGGAATTCGTTTTGAAACTGGAATGCGAAGCAATCGACGTCAAGCATTCGGTATGATGATGAGAAAAGTCAGATATTGTACGGTATCATACCGGTAGGACAAATTGCTGTTACTACTCGATACAGTACTATCGTACAACCACTTCCTCGTACCGTAGTAGTAGTTTTTTTAMTAGTAGGAGCAGTTTCGAACCAGTGTTGTGCATCGATGTTTCTTTTCGACAGATGAAGCATCATCCACAACAGGACGGAAACAATAAATCACAGGCTATCGAAGTCCCTTCTATTTTTTAATTTAAAATCATTAAAAACAGTTTTCGATACTGTAGTCAACATTGATATTATTTTTTTCTCTCTTCCCCAGTTGATTTGTGTGCGTGAAGCGCTTCCATTTATTTGGTCAATCCTCAAAGCATTTTCTATGGTTTTATGCAATGCATTACGCTACGTGAAGTCGGGTCTTCCATAACACTWCCTGAGTCGAAGCGCCGCGCAGGATTAATGAAAACCCGAAAATTCGAAAATCCATTTCATTACCGTACTTGGGCACTGCTTGATGTTTTCCTCGGCTTAATTACTCCTCTCTAATTCTTCTCACAAATCAAAAGAAAAAGGCAAAAAGCAAAACAATAATCAATACGACCTATACTACGACTTTAACTATAACTACCACCACTACCATGAGCACTACCATGACCAATAATAACACCACTCAGGAGCTGCAGAAAAAGGCAGAATTAAAGTCCCTTACTCTGGAGGCTATTGTAAAGGAGTGTTCCGACAAATTGTTTTCGGAGCATTCGGATTTGCGCGCTATTGCTGAGGGACTTGCCGCAGGACGGGAACTAGACCTCACCATGTTGACAGGTGGACTATGCAACTACAGCTACAAGGTTCATTTCAAAGATCACGAGAAAGAMAAAGATGTTGCTCTCTTTGCCAAGATGACCTTTGGACAGCCAGTCATACATCCCGGTATGAACTGTCCCCTAAATAGAACCAACTGCGAATACCAAATGATGGATTCATACTCCAAGGTCTCACCCTTTCCAGAAACAACAGTAATACCTTATTTTTGCATCGATGTGGAGGGTGGAGAAGACAACATGAAGATTCTAGCAACTAAATTTGCTCCATCAAATCTAGAAGAACAKGCGGGGCACGTATTTATCGAGGGGGGAATTGTTGGCGATGAATTTGCAAGCAATCTGGCTGCTGGATTGGGGGCCCTCCATAACTCAGAAGTTACTAATCGCAACTTTAATGGTGAAATGAGGCCCTTCTTTTTGGCCTTGACTGATTTATTTTTTTCTATCTTTGACAGATATGTTGGTTCGGGTGGAGATGAAGACAATGAAAGCAAAAACAAAGAAGACAAAGAAGAAGAATCGGACATGGCTTCAGAATTTGCCAAATCGCTCGGAAAAGGAAAATTGGACAATATTGTGGAATCGTACCGTGCATGTGTTCTTCGCACAGACTGCTATATTCATGGCGATTGTCATCCCTTCAACATTCTTGTAGAAGGAAAACCAAAGAGGCTGGGTGGTCTGATCGAGTCCTTTCAGGACGAAGTAAATGGCAACAATTCCAGGAACAATGATGGCAAATACTGTATCATTGATTGGGAATTTACGCATTGTGGACCTATGGGCAAAGATATTGGATTTTTTAGTGCCTTTCCCATTGCCTGCCTCTTCGCCCATGCGGCACAAGGAGATGCTGTATCATCAGAGAGTATTTGTGAATTTTTGACAACCCTCTGGAAGGAGTATTCCCAGGTTATCAAGTTGGACAAAAAGGAAAACCTATCCCTCAATGATGTATACCGCCAAGTCTTGGGCTTCTCAGGTGCCTTTCTGATGGGATACGGTGCCGATGGATTCCATATGGAATATCTTCCAGTCAAAGAGGACGACACAGCTGAACACATTTTGAACAAGGTCAGGGCATCCTTAAGATTATTGGGTCTGAAGGTCCTTAACTGGGGATTTGGTGACGAGGGAGAGACTCTAACACTAGAAGATTTACAATGTCGTTTCAACGAGGCCATTCGAGAAGAAATGAATCGTTTGGCACCACCGGTGGCTCTGAAGTCAAGGAAACGGCGATCTTCCATCCTCCGAGAAACTGGACACCGGGTCAGTGATTCCCATATTCTATTTGGTTTTTCAGAGGAGTTCAGGCGAACCAGCATTTTGTCAAGATCTTGTGCTGTTTCGCCTCGGAAGAGTCTTGTCAAGCGAGCGTCGATCTTACAAGCGGAAAAGGTGGTTGCCTGATAGGACTATGAGTGTTAGTTGGRATCTATTTATCTRCAAACATTGCTATGTAATTATCCTTGTCTGGGGGATCATTGATTTTCCTAGATGACAAGAAATATATCCCAATCAAACTACTTTGTATTATCGCACCAGATCATAACTGTACTAGGGGTTTATTTTTTCTATTTCTTTCAAGAACAATGATGTTTTCCAACCATCTTTGCATTCCCGATCAGTTCTGACAATGCGCAAGAGTTTGCAAGATTTTGTAATGAATGGAAACTACGAATTGGAAAACAAACGCCATTGCGATCAAGTGATTTCTGTTTTTCGTTAGATTGTCTATATTAATTGTTCTGAAATTTCTAGGTCAAGCGACACGCTTGATTTTGAAATCGAGACACACTCTGAGTTGACGCTTCGCCACACTCCCAACATGGGCTGCGTGCAATACTTCCATTGTCATCCCTTGATCCTTGCACAATCGTTCAATGAGAGTCGTCGTTCGTTCGCACGCTGGATACTCGTGGTCGGCAACAAAATCGTACCAATGGCATTCGCCTCCGTCCTTCATGTGGCGCAACAAGACCCTTAAAAATGTTTCTCCACCGTCACCAGACCCCAAATCTCCGTCCAACTTTCCCTCCTTGGGCCGTGGGGCCAGAATTCGATCGAATTGTCGATTCAGAGAAGGCAATACATCGAGGACATCCCCTTGCACGATCTGCAACCGTTCTGCGGCTCCGGTGGTTTTGACGGCCTTGTTGTTTCCAAGCATCCGGTGTCCCCGCCGAGCGCATTCGACCGCTACCTCGTTGAGTTCTACTGCTACCACTGACGAGGCCTCGGTGCGTCCCGAAATCTGAATCGCTTCCATGCCCACTCCGGCAAAACAAACCAAAACATCTTCCCCGCGAGCGACCTGCTGACATATACGCAACCGCTCTTGAGCCATTCGGGGACTAAAGAAACAATGGTTCAGATCAACCACACAACGGATACCAAATTCGGTATGGGATGTGATCAATGGTGATCTTTGGGCTCCTGCGATGATAGCGAGGCCCTCCTCTCCGGGAGCGCGTTCCGTGCCCTCAAGGTTGGATTGCCGAGCAACAACCACCTTGATCGATTTGTTCTTTTTCATGATCGCGGTTCCGATGGCTTTAGGATCGCCTCCTTCTGGAATGGAATGTAGATAGGCTATGTCGCCAATCATATCAAATGATCTTGGAATAATCCTCTTCTTATCAGCACCACCAGCACTGTCGGCGACACCAATGTCGCTGCCGACGAAGTCACTGTTGGCATTGAGATTGAAGTTGTTGAAACTCAGTGCATGCTCTTCCTCTGAATCATCGGTTACGGGTCCCATTTCTCGCAAACTGTTACAAAATCGTTCAATTTTGTTCCAGTTTCGTGTTTGTCGCTCGTTGACTAGTTCTGACAACCACTGTGACATTTGTGGTCTATACAACGGCGCATTCGGACCCTCTGGAGTACACATGGGCATTTCGAGTCCCTCGTCGCCCCAGATGGCCACTAAATACCGGCGTTCTTTCCAATGGGTCAAGCCCACGTTCTTAAATGCCGGACGAGCAGTAGCCATGAGATGATGGGCAGCCGAGAGTGATCGACATGCGACGTGCAAAATGAAGGGCTCAAACCGGAGCCATATCGTTTGATCGGTGGGATCATTAGACAACGATTCGGCACCATTGTTGCGATCGATCTGACCATTGGTTTCAATGCTTTCTGTGTTTTCTTCTTCATTGTCATTATCAGCTTCGCCATTCGTAGTTTTGTAGTCGTATTGACCAATTGTGCGGATTGGATCCCCTCCTCCTGAGGGATCCTCTTCGATGGTCGTCAAATCGAAATACCGATCTGGGTCCAAAATTTTACCGTGTGAGATTCGAAACCGTTTGAACTCCGTAGATGCCTTGATTCCTGGTCCCCGGTACATGAAGCAGCGACCGGCACAGGACGAGGTCGTATACATTTCTTCGCGCTCGTTGATGATGCCGCACGCATCGACTGCTTTCGGGTCGATGCGACCGGCGAAACTCTTGTCACGTTTTCCGAGGCATTGCGCTTTGGCGTTTTCGAAATCGTTTCGTCGACGGTTTCTCCAAGATTCAGACGATTCCACCATGATACCTTGGTCGAATAGTGATTGAGTGCTTTTTTTGGTTCTTATTTCAAACAGTTCGATTGCTGGTGTTGGCTGTTATGTTTCTCATTCTCCTGGGAAAGTTGGAGGYGGCGGCAAGGTGCCAAAATCTGAAGATAAATCCATATCAATTTGAATACCGTAGAAAAAAACCTCAGTTGTTTGAAACTTTTTCCTTGATGGACTCAGGACGAAGAGCAATTCAGTAACGGTCGAAAACAGACGAAACAATTCTACCCATCCGTSACCAGGGACGCACCATTATTACCTGTCAGTTACCAGGTAGGTAGTACCGGCTACCGGCTGCTCGTGATCTGTGCTCGTCCTTACGGCACTTCCATACGTACGAAGAGTACGTACGATCTGCACGATACTGGCATTAAATATTAAATACCAATTTACGAAGAAATACTTTCAATGGTTATGGTACCACCATAGCTAGTAATGGTATCCATTATGCACTCATTTTTTTGTRGCAGCGGTAGATGCCATTCTCTTCTAGACACACAAGATGAACAACAAGAAAAAAATGTTTTGCCACCAAGAACAAGAACAACAAACAAGAAGAGCAGGAAGCAAGAGTAGCTCCTGCTCCTGCTGAAAAAGAGGGAAGAAGAAGAAGAACACCACCACCACCACCATCAGCAGGACCATCAGCAGGACCACCACCACCACCATCAGCAGGACCATCAGCAGGACCATCAGCAGGACCATCAGCAGGACCATCAGCAGGACCATCAGCAGGACCATCAGCAGGACCATCAGCAG